TATAGAATTTGTTTTCAGGAAAAATATATACTGAAAATGCAAGGCCCAGCACTTCTCGATGCCTGCCCACATATAAGGGATAAACACAACATCACATGGAATTGCTCTGTGGCCAGGAAAAGAGGATAGCTTTTAGAGGGAGTTAATATCCAGACTAAATCTCAGCATCCTAAACAAGGCCATCTTCCACAATCATCCATGTGGCACTTCACTGGGGCACTCAAATGAGCCTATGATAATGAGGTGATAGGAGAGACACTCCCATGGTTTTCATGTGTATGAAGTTATGTCCATTTACTCATGAAATTTTTAAAGTTTGCATTAGAGTCGAATAACAACATTTCTTCTTTCAAATCTGAGAATTTGTTCCTAAAGAAAAGCTCATGAAAACTAAGTGTTCAGGAAATGACTAGGATTGTTCAAAAAGGCGTCTCAAGCCTGCCTTCCAGACCTCTTGCCCAATGCCAACATCCAACTTGAGCATGAAGCAGGACCAGATAGAAAGTTCTGGAACCAGACTTCCTGTGCTTAAATCCTGACTGAGTCACTTTCCAACTGTGTGACCATGGTAAATTCTCTTTGCTGCTCTCTGCCTCAGTTGTCTCACATCTAAATAAAAATGTCAAGAGCCCTGCCTCATCTTGGTATTGTGCTGATGATTAAGAGTTAATATTTTCAGAGCATGGGTGCTCAATACACGTTAGTGAGAGAAATACAGATTACTTTTTTTAAAAAAAGGAGAAAATTTCCTTTATCTGAAATTCTTGGGACCAGAGTATTTTGAATTTTTTTCAGATTTTAGCATATTTGTACATTTAATGAGATCTCTTAGTGATAAGACTCAAGTCTAAACACAAAACTCTTAATTTTTTCATATGCACATACCCTTAAGGTAAGTTTACATGACATTTTAAATAATTTAGTGCATGAAACAGTTTCATGGCATCTTACTTATGGCATCAAGGCAGCACTCAGAAAGTTTCAGATTTTGGAGGATTTTGGAATTATGATTTTCAGATTATGGATGCTTAACCTGTATGACTATAATAATATAATATCATTTTTACTTCCTGCCTTCAATCTTCCCAAGGGATTCCATGCCCAACCAGTTCTCTTAAACTTTAGAAGCAATGGTTCTCAGTCTTTATCATGTATCAGCATCATCCAGTGGCCAGTGGCTTCTTAAAATAGACTTCTGTTCTTCTGTGCTCCAGAATGGGGCCTGAGAACATCTTTTTTTCTTTTTCTTTTTTAGTAGCAGATATTGAATTCAGGGGAACTTTAACACTGAGCCACATCCCCAGCCATTTTTTTTTTTTTAAGTTTATTTCAAGACAGAGTCTTACTGATTTGCTTAGAGCCTTGATAAACTGCTGAGGCTGTTTGCGCTCGCCATCCTCCTGTTTCAGCCTCCTGAGCCACTGGGATTATAGGTATGCGACATGGTACCTGGCTAGAACATGCATGTTTAACAAATTAATCTCAGGTATATAGATGCTGCTTCTCTGGAGGAACAGCGAGAAATTTAACACTACTACTAGAGGACAACAGGCAGCTACAAACCCACAGGGCTTTCTATGGCCTTTTGCCCACCTTAGAATGCCCTTCCTGGACTCCATCTCAGTAAGTACACCAATATCTCCAAAAGGATTGAGCATGAAAAGCCAAACAACAGCTCCCATGGTCACTTTGTGCAGAATCTTAAAACAATGCAATGCACTGTGGTCAATGAAATCAGTTCCACCAGACTAGAAGTCCCTAACAATTAGGACTTTACTTAGTACTTGAGACACAGAAGATCCTCAATAAATAGTGACTGAAAGAAATTCTGGAGAGCCAATGGCCAAACACATCCCTGTGAACCAATAACCTGGAAGGTCTTAGAGATCAGATCCCAGTTGTTCACTGGACAGGAGTGCCCAGAGTTCCTGGGGAGCCCGTGATCTCGGCTACCCCACCCAGGAGTCTCTTCTCTGCTCCAAGGTCCAGGAGTCCGTTGCCTCCAACCACAACTTTCCCTCTCTTTGAAAGTAACAGAGCTTCAGCTTTAGGCTTTTCATCAGCATAGGCCCCCACGGGAACAACAAGCTGCTGGAAGATGCTCAGTATTATCAGGAGAGGAGAAGCCAGACTGCAATCAGGAAGCATTTCTGTGTAAACATTTCTGGTGAATTGCCCAATCAGATCTTGGTTGGCAAAGTCATGTATTTCTCACAAGATTTTTTAAAATCTCTTTTTTTCTCCTTTTAAATTAATACATACCTTTATACCCAATTTTTATTAAATTTTTAAAGAGGGCCACCAAATTGCTTACCTACCAGGAGTCACAAAGCTTGCATCAGCAGCTTCACACACTTCTACATATTCTGCTCCTTGATCTTTTGGATTTTCTAGAAATTTCTTGAAATTTTCACCCATCTTGACCCTCTTTCTTCCCTTATACCAGAACCAAGCCAAGAACTCTTTTATAAACACCTCCTATAGAATACTTTAAGTGTCTTATTGATTTCTCTGCCAAAGAAACATACACACACACACACACACACACACACACACACACACACACATCCATGCCAAGAATGATCCAGGTAAGATATTCTACCTGATCCTCTCCACACAGGCAACAGTTAACCACTGACATCTCAAAATATATAAATATTGTTTTTGAAAGTCAGATCACTTTTTTTAATTTTTAATATTTATTTTTTTCAGTTTTCAGGGGACACAACATCTTTCTTTGTATGTAGTGCTGAGGATCAAACTCGAGCCACATGCATGCCAGGCGAGCGCGCTACCACTTGAGCCACATCCCCAGCCCAAAATATTTAAATATTAAACTCTGATTTTTTGAGTGTAATCACAAACCATTATGAGACAGTTTCAAGAAAGCAAGTGTCCTCTATGTCAGGAAATATTATAAATTCTTAGTGATAGTAAAACTCTCATACTATACAGTGTAATAATTTTAATTTAAGAATCACTTCTGAAATTTACTTGCACTTTAAGATATCAGTTGTTATGAATCATTTACCCCAAAAACAAATCAGTAACTTTAGGATGTTTTGCTAAATCTGCCATTGCTGTACCTTATATTGCTTAAGATAACTTTGAGGAAAAATAAATATAGTCTTTAAAAATAAATATTAGAATCAAAATTTTAAAATTAATTAATTAAATATTAGATATGTTGATCAATATAGGTTTACGCACAGTCTGTTCTAGGTAACAACAGTAGTTTCTAGTCACTTTACAGGCATGGAAAGAAAACAACCTAAAATATGTGCATGTGAATACAATAAAAATCAACTCTTCATTCAATTTGTAACAGCAGTTTTACTAATTGACCCCACTTGGATATATTAGCACTTTAAAAATGTTAAGAAAGACATGACAAACTAAAAATTTTCAGTTTGAAAACAAACTGAGAAAAATAGCTATTTATCTACTTGTCTCAGGTAGGTCATAGTAACTGCACAAGTACAAAGAAAACAATGCTCATTTTATTTATGACAAACTAAACCCCAGGAGGTGAATTTTATGAATTTAAATTTGAATTCCAATTTCCAGTAAATCTGTCAGATTTATACTATCTCCCGTCACAGCTGCATGGAATATCAAATTAAAATAGCACTCAGATATATTCACATTCAATTCCTGGGTCAGTTACCTTGTACAAATTATTGAATTGCTCCCTTCCTCAGTTTTTCATCTGCACAGGGAAGTAATATCTATTTGTATATTTTAAACCATAAGACAAACTGTTTAGCATGGCACATGATTGATTTTATTTTTCAGTACTGGGGTGGTACCCAGGGTCTCAAACATGTTAGTTCAGTGATTTACCATTGAGCTACACTTTCAGACCCATAGTTGATTTCAATAATTCATAATTCCTGTTGCTGTGGATGAGTGATCAAGCTAATAACCCATACAGTCAAAGAACTACATTTTCCCTGCACTTAGATACTGTTTACCAGCATATAATGAGATGCTGGATGGGAGGCAAAGCATAACATGCCATTAATCTTATTCTGAACACCCACCTGTAAGGAATAAATGCCCTAAATTACCCCTTTGTGTCAACACCTGTACTACTAAACAGCACAGCAGAGGTTTGCTCTTAACAGACATACAACCAATATTTGTTCAATTCAAATGTTGCTGATTCAAGTTAAAACATGAATGCACAATCCTTAAAATCCCTCAATAAATGGTGACTGAATTCTGCATGTCACTGAAACCAGTGTTCTAAGGTCCCAAGGTTCACCAAGCAGCTCTTTGACATCTATAAATGCCCAGCCAAGCACACTTGAGCATACTCATATAACCATCCAGAGGAGGCTGAAACCCTCAGACATCGCACAAAAGTTCAATCAGACCAAAGGAAACCCGTTCTACGGAAATTCAATCATTTTAAAGCCATCAGCGGCACTACCTAACAAATGAGCAGTGCACTGAAGTACTGACTGAAGAAATAAACGACTTTAAAGGAACATCGCCATCATCGTTTTCTTCTTCCTTGTAATATGATTAAGACTGCAAATTTTGCTCTTAACCTAGGGTTTTCTGCTCCCCTTTAACTGGATAAACGTCAACACAAGGAACCAAAGTTGATTCTCTGCAGTTCCAGAAAGCGAGCGCATCAAAACCTTCCAGGGAGGGAATGACCTCTACAGAGATTCCAGGCCACGGCAGAGAAGTGACTAATACCTTTGCGCCTGGGGAAGACCCAATGTCTGGCCTTTAAAATGCAAAGAAATCCTGAAGCAGGCTGCCCTCCTCTCACGGGCTCTTTTGCACTCCAAGCTTTGCATTTCTGTCGTCCACAGGACACTCCTGAACCAGTAGCTACAAGGGAGGGCAATAGCTCCGCTACATTCCCATCCTGGACCCTCAAGGTCTATTAACTCCCTGCTTGGGTTGAGATCTGACGCCCACCCCTAGGAGAGAGCAGGCGGCGAACCTGCTGTGCTGCCAGGTGAGCCCCGCACCACACTCACCTGTCCTACGCTGCGTCCCAGGGGCTGCAGAGCAGGGTAGTCACGCGCCCCTTACCTGCGCGGGATCTGCCGTGGCTGTGGCACTGTTTGCCGCTCCCGAGCTTAGGGAGCAGCCCTTACGCAGCGAGGGCAGGGCGTTGCGGAGCGCCGCGGGACTTCCTCGGCACCCCCTTGCGAGCCCCGCCTTAAAGGGGAGGAGGCGGCCGCGCGTCACCTTTGAGAAGCCTCTGAGCCTAGCGCGGGCGCAGCTGCGAGCTGCTTTGCCAGGTGTTACGTGAAGGCGCCGGGGCTCGGTGCTGGGCACTGGCTGGGCGTAGAAACAGTGATTACTTGCAAATCATTCGTCTGGGTTGATCTACAGGAAGAGAAAGGTGTGTCCAAAAAGTCCGAAAGGACAAATGTGACCTGCAAACGTCTAAAAACCTGTCTTCGCTGGTACTTTCAGCAGGTCCCTAAAAGATCAGCGGACAGAAAATCGGTTCTCTCTTTAACGCCCTCACTCTAGAAAGAGGTGTTTCCAAGCTTGGCGGCCTTGTTAAACCCGTGCCACGTTTGAGCGATCGAGGTTGGAAGTCAGTCACCCAAATCTACAGAGATATGCTTTCTGAATCTTAGTTCCTCATGTATAAAAATAAGGCTGCCTTGTGGGCCCAGCGAGTTGGGTATTCCCAGAGGCCCCCAAAGACTCTTGTCAAATATTTATGGGCCACTAAGGTGGCCCATAAATATTTGCCTTTTGTTACTCTTGCACTTCCCTTTCTTCCTTCCTTATTCCTTTCTTTTTATTGCAGTTTGCACCCTTTGGTGCTTGGTCAGTTCCTTTTCCTATATATTCATGAGCCCGAATTTACTGAGCCCTGATTCTATGCTGTGTCAGGTGTTGGGTGGCTTTGGAGGAGACATGCAGGTTAGATGCCTGCTTTGAGGGCTCAGTCCCAAGAAACAGTAGTTTTGAACTTAACCAGAGATATGAAAAATTGTGCTCTGTAAGTGTAATATGAATTGTAATGCATTCTCCTGTCATATAAATTAAAAAAATAATTTAAAAAGAAAAAGAAACTAGATACAAGAGAAACAGGCTGGTGTGACATAAAACCAGGCATCTTATAGATTGTTCTGGGAATGGGGAGGTCTGTAAAGTGAGAGGAGTTTAATTGGTGTAACTGATGATTAAGAGCTTAGGTTCTGGAATCAGAAAGGCGTCAAATCAAATCCTTGCTGGGCAACTAATCATGTAAATAGGAGAGTTCACTTAACTACCCTGAACTCCAATTTTCCCTTTAATCAATTATGATTGAAATATATTCACATATATTCAGAGAAATAATGAAGTCAGTGTGCTGGCCCACAGTAACCATTTAATAAAGTTTAGCTAAATGATAACACATACTAATATAGAGGATAGGGAATGGGTTTAAATTTGAGAAAACAGGATGTAGGAAGAAATAGTAGAAAAAGAAGTGTATTACAATAAAAATTCCCACTTACAGCTGTCATTGAGGAAGACAACTTTGCACCAGTCTCTGAGCTTGGCATGAAACAATCTTATTTAATTTTTATGAACCTGTGAGACAGTTGATAATATCTCTGCTTTAAGGTGAAGAACTAGCCTCAGAACCATGAAATAATCTGCCAGAAGGTAGGAATCAAGTTCCCAGCCAAGTCAGAGCAAGCTGAGGCCCATGGCAAATCTACGCTTTTTTCAATGTGTTAAAGGTTACATTCCCTCCCAGTGAAGAGAGATAATTAGAGAACATAGAGTCTAAAAAGAAGAAGAAAAAGAACAATGCAGGAGAAGAAGCAACCATACCTTTAAAGCTGAGTAATAATATAAATGAATTAAAATAGTAAGCCATCCCACACTAAAAGCTTTTTCCCTCTGACTCCTGCTCTGGTGAAGTTCCTGTTCTGTGGTTCCGGCAGCCCAACCACAAGTAAAAAATGACTACCAGCATTTTGCAATCATTAAATGTTATAGAAAGTGAAACAGATATCTATGGTGATACTCTCCCCACCACACGCAAGGTCATCTGTCCAGCTTCCTTGGGTTTTCGGGTCTCTTTTGTCTTTTAATTAGCCCAATATGTTACACGCCTCCTTTAGCAGTGTGTTTCACGTAGGGAATAATAATGTCACATTTACTAGTTGAAGTTTGCTGCATAACCACAGCAGCAATTAGAACAGCAGCTGGGCTCATGTATATGGCTGATCAATTTTTAATATGCTATTGTCCTATTGAATTTTTTTTTAATTTAAACAGGTTTTGATCCAAGTCTTACACAATGAGCACTTGTCAATGATGTCAGTTGTTACTTTTTAAAAAAATAATAATAAATACTTCCTGAATTTACAATAGGCAACCTTCTCCCTCTGGCCTTCATAATTCACCTAATTCACAATGTAGTTGGCCTCTCAAGAAACAGCACTGTTGTCATTGTGATGACTGAGGTGGAGATTTCCTATTTCCTGACAAAATTGCTTTTAAATCTTAGTGCATATTTGGTTGCATGGCTATTTAATAACAGTGCCTGTCTTTTTAAATTTTCAATAGCAGATGTCTTCTGCATTCCCCATGTACTCTTTTGCATCACATCCTTTGCAGCACCAGAGATGTGATACATTCTGTGTGCATTCAGAAGCAGTGCAGTGGAAGTATCTTAGCAATGTTGTTGTTCCTGTTTTAGCTTTGAATGAGCCAGAGCAGTTTAAATGGGGCAAGCTACAATTGCTACAGTCACCCAGAATCTGTGATGATGGGAATGGAGCCGTCTTTTCTAACAGAAAGAATACCCTGGGTATACATACATACAAGCTAGAATTCTGACTCTTCTTTGCTCAGAGGGAACCACAAAGGACCACCTTGCATCATTCTACCAGAGTTGACCATGCAGGCAATTCTGCCTAGCTCCAAGTGGAAAATGAAGGGCTTTTCTTGAGAGAACAAGTCCCTTCAATTTCCAAGAGAAAGCTGTCTAAACTCTGCTACCAATGCCAGCTGTGATACAAATTCTTGGCACTTAGCATCCGTCATATTTTTCTTCATTGGTGCTTCTCAGCATTTCTGAGCCAATAAAAACAAAAGAAGAAAAACAATTTAGACATAAACATGTAGATCTAGATCTAACAGGAGGCGAAACAAATGTGATGGTTAAGGCAAAATTTATTCTGTTGACCAAGTAGCAGATGTTTAGTGTGTGCTATAAGGAAGTTTATGCACTTCATTACATGGTATAGAGAAAAGGGGCATTCCTTTTATGGATGGTGCAAATGGTCTTTGTTATCATATTGACTCAGGTTCTTTTATTTTTCTATTGTATAATCATCATGTCATCTCCTTTTTATAGTGGCAGGTGTGAAGACCAAATTTAGTGGCTCACTTCTGACCTGACTCTGTCACTTATTAGCTATGTGTTTTTCCTGCAGTCTTCACTCTCCTGAACAAAAATGGGGCCCTAACTAAAAATGCATTTTGTTTTCTAATTACTCAGGAAAAAAAGCCTTATTATAAAATCTTTTTTTATGGAAACAAACACCAGCATTTAATTACTTTAATGATATTTCTATGTAGCAAGTTTTTTTAAATACCTAGACATGTATTTAACACAAGCTGATTGGCTAAAAAAAATGCTTGCAGATAGTAAGTTGTTCTACATTCAAGTTTTATGGATATTAACCTTTTACTGGATGAAATTTTTTTATGGCCAAGATGAACATCTGGTACTGGTTGCTTTGAAAAAGTGAAGATTATAAGAAACATGAAAGCTGTATCTTAAAAGAATTAGTCTCACATGCATCAGATGGGTAAAGCATAATGAAATTGACTTTTTGGAGTGATATTTGCCTTGCTCAAGACTACTCCTTTAGCATCAGCTGTTTTCTATTTGATGTCCTAAATTCCATCTATTTGATTCCTAAATTCCCCCACCCTGCCAATACCTTATCCAGGAGAGAGATTCCTATTATACAAAATTACTGTGGGCTCAATTGTTTTACTGAATAATATCTAATGTGTCACCATTGGCAACAGTGATGGGCATATGAAGAATCATCCTTGAGAGATAGATTGTTGAATCTGCTTTTGGACTGTTGGTTAGGGTCTATTTCTTAAAATTGCAGTGTGTGTTTTAAAATGATCTGAAGTTGAAGTTGTCACTTAAGAACAGAAATCTTAGGCTTTCTCATGGTAGCTGGTTTGTTTGCATCCTCTGGGTTTTGCAAATATCAGAAGTGAACTTGTTTTCTCTCTAATTGGGCTGCTAGAATGCTGAGTGGCCCACTCCTGACATATTTTCAAAATTTTTTAATTTGTACATTGTATATTGGAGTTATCTCCGTCTACTTTTATTCCCCTAAGTCTGAGATAAAAATAGAGAAATTTTCAAGACTGTGTAATAATCAAGTCTCCAAGCAATAAGCAGCACATTGATTGATATTGTCTTTCACATAACTAACATATGCTAGCAGCTACAACCAGACCACAAATGAGGATGCCAATGAAGGCCAGGCTCATAAAATAAATGCTTGACTGTGATCACATATAAAAAAAACAAAGACTATCACAAACAATAGAAGGCACACCCACCCAAAGACATTCAAATTCACATACAGTGAAACCTGGGCCGGTGGCCAGAAGCCAGGTGACTAGTGTGTGTCCTCTCAAAATCAATGCATCAAGCTCTATGATCAACACTATGGATATAAAACATGGTGGCTGCTGCCCTCCAAGGAACCATTTGGCTCAGAGGAAAGACATGTAAATAAATAAGGACCTAGAGTGTCAGAGGAAAGTAGGTCTGCTGGGGTCACCCACAGAATCTGACAAGAGTCAAGTGCAGGAGTCCAGATATCAAATAAGGGGAATTATAAGAATCGTGATTCCAGGAAGCCCCAAGGTCTAAGGGAAAGGGTCCTGATGGGTGAAACCCAGCTTATACCCCTAGGATGTGCATAGGCTCAATTGGCAGGCGAAGATCAATTCAGGGAATGAAGCTAGGCCTGGTAATATTTCCACAATTGTTTATTCAATCAGAAATTTAAAATGCAAACACATAGGGAGAAATAATAACTATGCTTATGCCTGAGGACATTACCAAATTTTGGACTTGACATCTCTAGTCTCTTTTTGTGACTGTGTGGGACATATAATTTGAAGAAGTTCTAATTCATCCAGGCTTCAATTACAGACTGTAATG